AAATAAATGAAATAATAAAAAATAATTTATATTGTAACTTGTATCTCATAATATTTAGAAAAATGTACTTATTTAGTTTAAATTTAGGTTAAACCCTCAATTTAGTCTTTGAACTATTGTATGGACTCTCGGTTTGATTCTTGAATTAAAAAAATCTCTGATTTGATTTTTAAATTATTGTACAGATCTCATAATTTGGTCCTTACTGTTTACCAATTTACCTCAAGTTGATCATTCTATACAAAAAATAGCTTACGTATTTGTTGTTTAATGATGAAAAACAATAACTTAATGATTACAAGTCATGTTAATAATAAAACACGTCAGTTGATTTTTGTATGAAATGATCAACTTGAGGTAAATTGATAAACAGTAAGGATTAAATCGAGTTCATACAATAATTTAGGGACCAAATCAAAGATTTTTTCAATTTAAAGATCAAATCGAAGATATGTACAATAATTCAACGACCAAATTGAACATTTAACCTTAAATTTATTGTTATGTTTAAGATTGATACAATTGAAGCCAAATATAACATGAAAATTAATCCCATTTTTACATCAGTTCATTTTCCAGCCCTAAAAAAAAAATTTAAGAGTTTGTTTAACGTTGCATTATAATTAAGAATAAAATTAGAATAAAAATATTTTGTTAACTAATATAATTAAAAAAAATAAAATTACCAAAATTTTAAATTTTAAATACCTCCATGCTTGTGAAAAAGGAGTTGTCGCCAATGGTTGGTTGCTAAAGAATGACAACTATTCAACCATTCTTTTTACTGATCATGACAACTAATGCCCTTTAGGCCCCAGAAGATACTCAAACTCTACAGGGACGTCTATAAGGATGTTGTGTCGATCACTGCACTGCCATGTACAGCTACATCGACTGTGCTGTCATTCAGCCATCCCAACAAGCTGCTAGCAAGGACAAAAGAAACTCTTGAATGTTGATGCATCGTGCGATTTCTGCAACTAACTTAACCACATCTCTATCGCTACTGTGCCATCTCTCGCAATGTCATTTGTATACAACTCTTACACTATGTTTGAATTAGAGGAGTCAGAGGAGAAGTGAAGTTGAGTGAGAGAATTCCACCAAAAAAAGAAAGAAGTTGAGTGAAAGACAGAGCTGTTATACTGTTATTCTCTTATTTATTTTTTTAACCTATTATAATTATTTATATAGTAATTAAAAAAATAAAATTTTTTTTATGAGATTTGAATATACAATTCATAAAAAATGAATGATATTAAATCAAAGTCTAATATCATTAAATCGAAACAAATTATTTTTGTTATTTTCTTATTTAGTTTAACAATTTTAATAACATGAGAAAGAGAGAAAGAATTCTCCTCCTTTCATTTCAATCATTCTATTTAAAAGGTTTAATTTAATAAATAATTTATATATTTATATATTTTTTTCATTTATTATTTTTAGATATTTTTATATTCATCAATTATTTTATACTTTTATTTCAATTTACTCT